CAGGGGGCTCCCAGGCTGTGCCGGGGCTGACCCTCCCCGTGTTGCCCAGCAGTGCCGACGCAGCCCTGGAGGAGGCCGTGGTGGAGGTGCTGGACCACCGGCCGCTGGAGCGGGACCGCGGCCCGCCGTGCCGGGTGACGGTGGAGCCGGTGGGCTCCTGTGCCACGCTGGTGACCGAGCGCATCGCCCAGGGCCCCCCGGGGCTGCTGGACAGAACCACGGCCGCGCTGCTGCACGGTGAGGATGGGGGGGCCCGGCCCGGCCCCGGCCCAGGGGACGGTGCCAACGCGGCCCCCTGTCCCCCCCAGGCACCATCCTCCTGGACTGCATCAACCTGAGCCCGGCCGCCGGCAAGGTGACGCCGCGGGACGTGGCGTGCGTGGCCCTGCTCGAGGACAGGTTCCCCGAGCTGCCGCCCCGCGACAGCGTCTTCGGGGCCCTGCAGGCGGCCAAGTTTGACGTCTCGGGTGCGGTGACAGCCTGGGCACCCCCGTCTCCCTGGGGACAGCGACGCGTCCCCGGGCTCACGCTCGCCCCGTCCCCTCCCAGGGCTGACGACGGAGCAGATGCTGCGCAAGGACCTCAAAGTGCTCTCCAGTGACGAACTGGTCCTCGCCATCAGCGGCATCTACGTGGACCTGGAAGTGAGGCCTTCGGTGGGGGGGAACCGAGGCGGGGAGCGGCACGCTGGGGACACGGCGGTGACGCCAAAGAGCCTCTTCCCTGTCTGCAGACGTTCCTGCTCCGGCCTGGCTTGCTGCAGGACCTGGATGGCTTCTGCCAGGCCCGTGGCTACGCGGGGCTGGTGGCCATGACCGTGTCGTTCAACGAGCGCCACGAGCCCACCCGCAAGCTGGCGGTCTACAGCCGCTGCGAGACCCTCCGTGGCACGGTGAGCTGGGGGGGCCGGGCGCTCTCGGCTGGCTGGCCCCAAACCCTCCTGATTTTGGTGCTCCCTCGTAGCTGTGCCGGGCGCTGGAGGAGGCGACGACGCCGTCCCTGCACTTGCAGCCCCTGCCCAGCCCCTGGCCCTGCGTGGGCGCCTTCGCCCAGGGCAACGCCCTGGCCTCTCGCAAGAAGGTCCTGCCCATCCTGCGGGCAGCCCTGGGGGGCGTGGGGGCTGCCGGGGGTCCCGAGGAGGAGGTGGTGCCCCCGCCCACCCCCATGAACAGCCTGGTGGAGGAGTGTCCCCTGGCGCAGGCCGTGCCCCCGCTGTGCCCCCAGGACGTCCTGGAGCGGGTCAGCCGCATCGCCACGGGGCAGCCCCCCGGCTCCCCCAAATAACAGCGGGCACCCCGCGGCTCCAGAGGGCTGGACGAGAGGTTGGGGTCCCTGAGCAGGCCCTGGGGGGTGCCCGGGCATGCGGGGGTTGCAGCCACCTTTGTTATAGAGCTCAGCTCCTGCTCCTCGGTGTGAGCTGTGCCCCCAGTGGGCCCCCCCGCCCCCACAGTCCCCCAGGGTGGGTTTTTGGGGGCAGCAGTTGCACGCACTTAATGAGGGCACTGGGGGGGGTTGTTTTTTAACGAGTTCTTGGTGTTCTTCCCTCCCCTGGAGGGCTGCAGGGGGGGCCCTGGATGCCCTGGACACGCAGCCAGCCCAGGAATGTCACCCACGTTTTCCAAGGATTAAACTTCCCTTTTCTTCCACTTTGGGCTCTCGGCTTTTATTCTGGGCCAGGTCTGGTGCTGCCCCCCTCGTGCTGGGGTTGGATGCTGGGGGTGCCCCCCACCCACCCCAGCAGGTGAAGCCCCTCTTTCCCTGGGCTGCAATCCCCCCTACAAGCACGAGGCAGGCCTGGACAAGCCCAGCTCTGCCCGGAGCATCCCAGAGGAGCCCAGCGAAGGGGAAAGGCTCTGTCACCCAGCACAGGCTGTTTAACGTTTAATCCTAATGAAATGGCGCTAATTAAACTATGTACACCCGCGCCTGAATTCGGGAGCCTCCTGGGGTCGGGCCCTGGTCCTGCCTCCGCAGGTGACAGTCCTGGGTGGAGGGGACCCCAGCACGGCCCTGCCCCCACAGAAGCTGCTCAGGGGGGTTTAGGAGCTTAAAAAAAAGAACATATCCTAAAAAAAGGGGGGAGTTTGGCAGTGGTGGGAATGCCGGGGGGAGGCACTGCGGGCTCGGTGATGGTGAGACACCGGAGCGCCGGGGTTTGATCCTGGTTTGGCACCAAAGCATCAGGGTTTAATCCCCATTTGACACCATATCCTGGCTTTGCAGCGGAACATCTCGGGTTTGAGCCCGGTTTGGCACCAGAACGTCGGGCCTTAATCCCGGTTTTGCTCCTCTGCCATCCCAGGAGGCACCACCGGGCAGCCCACGGGACACACCGGAGTGGGCAAAGGGAACCCCGGGAAGGTTTGGCACGCGTGGGCTGCGCCTGGCAGCTCCTGGCACGGGCCAGGGGGTAGCTGTGTCCTTCCCAGGTGGGGCAGGAGGAGGGGGCTGTTATCGCTGCCCCCTCCCCGTGTCACCGCCCGATGCCCCCGGGAAGGAGGGATTTCCCGGGGGAATGACGACCAGAAGTCACCGGGAGCTGGGCGAGGCTGGTGCTGCATAAATACCGCGGGGCTCCAGGGTGGCCTCTCCTCCGGCGGGGGCAGGGGGGCAGTTCAAGTTCGGGCTGAAAATGCCAGGAATCTGTGAAATCCCAGAGGTCGGGTTACGGGAGCGCAGGAGAGGAGGCTCCTTCGGGTGACACTCGGTGCTGGTGCCTCCGAGGGGGCAGTGGGTGATGGGGGGGCCATGCACTCACACGCTACAACACCCGGGAGTTGCTCCACTGTCGCTCCCGGCCGCCCTTGGATCGCATCTCCTGCATGGCACCGGTCTGCAGGGAGGGCCTGTCACCCGCTGTGCCACCCTGTCACCCACCCAGGACACCCAGCACCCCGAGAGGGACACCTATCACCCACCCAGGACACCCACCACTCCAAAAGGGACACCCAGCACCCACCCAAGACACCCAGCACCCCAAAAGCAACACCCAACTGTGAGACACAGCACCCCAAACACCACCCAACCATGAGACCCAGCACCTCGACACCAACACCCACCAACCCCAAACCCCCCGCCCGGCCCTGCCCCGGGTACCATGGGCAGCCCCTCTCCCGCGGCCATGTCTCCGGAGCCGATGTGCGTCAGGTGCACGAAGTTCATGGGCTCCCCGATCATGGAGCGGTCGATCCTCCTCCTCCTCTTCTTCTGGGGGGCGATGAAGACTGTGAGCCCCCCTGCTGACCCCCCCAGCCCCTCCCCAAAGCCCCAGCACCCCGGGGTACTCACAGGCTGGGGCTTCTCCACGACGCAGCAGCCCAGCTTGTGCCAGAAGTCGCTCATGCTGGTGGCGGGAGCCAGGGTCCCCCCGGCGCCGAGACCCCCGCGGGGTCACTCCATGGGGACACCGCGGGGCACCCGCTGGGGCCGGCACGGCGTGGGCAGGAGCAGATGGCTGGCACTGGGAAGGGAGGGGGGATGTCTGCCCCAAATCAATGCCAAACAGACTTCCCGTCCACCAAACAGAGATGGAGACCCCCAGGAGACCCCCGGGATCACACAGAGCCCCCCCAGGGACTCGGGCCATCACCCAGAGCTCCCCATGGCCAGGACACAGCTGAAGGATGCTGCGGCAGGATGGGGGGGATGGAGGCAGCCGTGGCAAATCCCAACTCCCTGAGCCAGGAGCTATAAATATCCCGGCCTTTCCGAAAAGGGGCCGGAGGTTGAGCTCTTCCGCTGCAGCTCCAAGAGCAGATGGGGGGAAAACAAACAGGGGCTGGTGGGATTTTACCCCAAAGCCCCACGGCCCTGCCTGGGGTAGGCAAGGGGGTGTGGGAAGGGGGGTTCACCCCCAAAACAGGGGTTCCCCTCATCCCGAGGAGATACAGCTGCTTTGCTGCAAAAGCACCTGGAACTCACCCGCCCACGACGGGCCTGAGCACAGCCCTGTGCGAGCCAGCGGAGAGTCCCCACGCCGGCCCGAGGCCAAGCTGAGCCACAGCTGGGCCCGTGGGTGCCGGACCCACCGCACAGGCAAACAGGAAGAGTTCCTTCCTCTGCCCCTGCGCCGGCGACGCCGGATGGGCCAAAGTCCGCGGCTGCCGGGCCGCACTTCCTGCTCCTGGCGGGGAGGAGCAGGGCTGGGGCAGCAGGAGCAGCCCCCCAGCACAGGGGCAAACCCCCCAAAATGGGGTCTAAGCCCCCTGGGGTGAACGGGGGGCTCTGAGCCCAGCCTTGCCACTGTCCCACCTGCAGCCTGGCCAGGGCCAGTGGGCAGGATCCGGCCCCAAGGACCCCACGGAACAGCACCCACAGTCCTTCCCCTGCTGAGAACAGGCAGGTTGTGACACATCTGGGGCCGTGCCCCGGCACCCCTGGCCTCTCCCCCGGGCGTCTCCCCCGGCTGTGGGGGGAGGAAGAAGGGGCTGCCTTTTCTTCCCAGCCTGATTTCCTTAGGAAACAAGGCTGCCGGGGCCAGCCACGCCACAGCCCCGGATCCGGCAGTGCAGCAGAAAGGCCTGGCTGGGGGGTACCCCCCAAATTCACCATCGCAAACAGCCCTGGGAGTGCTGGAAGAGCCTGCACCGGGAGCCCCAAGGGTGGGCTCAGCCCCGTACGAACCACCAGTGATCCCCCTTGGAGCCCTCCAGGGGTTCCCACCGCCATGACCCCCTGCCCGAACCCCTCTGAGCCCAGAGCCCCTGCCAGCACCCACCGGGGCCTCACGTCCTCGTGCCCAGCCAAGGGTGACGGCGGGCGCTGGATGCGGGCGCTGGATGCGGGCGCTCTCCCGGCTCCGGCCGGTTCTGTCGGCGGGTCCCACGGGCTGCAGCCGCCCCAATTCCCCGTTCTGGGGGGTCTCACGCCCCCCCCACGCCCTCAGGCCACCCCTGCGATGAGCTGTGTCCGGTCTCAGCCCGGCTGGGCGCTGGGTGGCCCCGGCGAGGGCAGCTTAGGCCCGGCCTGTGCCGGCACTCACAAAATGACTTCCCGGTTGGGAAACCACCGCTCGGCTCTGCGTCACCGGCGGGGTCTGGGGAGGGGGGGCCCACGGCGAGCCCCCCAGCATTGGGGGTCACCCACTCCAAGGGTGCTCACTGGGGTTCCCTAAAGCTCGGAAGGGAGACAGGGACACAGTGGGTGAGAGGCCGGGGGTGCCCCAGCTGTGGGACCCCCGGGATGGGGTGGCAAAGGGGGGGTTGAACCGCCTTAGAGTGGGATGGTCATGGCTGCGACCCCGGTCCTAGAAGGACTGAGATCCCCGGGGGTCCTGATAGGGCTCCGGGGGTCCTGATAGGGCTCCGGGGGTCCTGATGGGGTTCGGGAGTCCCAGCGGGGCTTGAGACCCCAGGGAGTCCTGGTGGGTCTGGGGACCCCACAGGTCCAGGCAAAGCTGGGGGGTCCCAGCAGAGCTTGGCACTGTGGTGGTCCTGATGGGGCTGGGGGGTCCTGGTGGGGTTGGGGGGTCCTGGCAGGGCTGGGGGTCTCGGGGGTCCTGGGGGTCCCGGTGGGACTCCCTGGTCCCACCAGGGCTGCA